ATATTATTATCGATATCGTATCGATATCGTATTTACATCGAAATGATATAGTAAAGATAAACTTAATGACCTCGATTTGATTATCGTCAAAGTATGGTAAAGTTATCATTAGAATTTTTTGAGTTTCTGTAAAGTAGAGTTGTGATTAAAAATAAAGAATTAGATATATTTGTTTGAAAGTTGTGATTTATGTCAAAAACATTAAATAAGTTTGCTATATCAGACATTATTATTTTATATATCTTATTTATTTTATTTATTTGTTTTATTTATTATATCTATTATATTAATTATATTAGTTTATTTGTTAAATTTATTATGTTTGCTAGTAAATTGAAATAACGATTTTGTATAAATAGATCAGAAATTCACTTTAGAGAAAATAGAGAAAATAGCAAGTTTGTAAAAGTTTTTCTCAAAGATTTAATTAGAACATTCTAGTTGTGATAATAAGTCTTAAGAAAAGACTTGTAGAATTCCTAATTATTAAAGTTGTTAATTTTAACTTTCAATCTTTTTCGTAATTCTATAAAGATTTTTATGCAATAATAAACTACTCTAGCAAATCATATATAAATTATATATTAAAGAACTTTATAAAAAGTAAATTAGTTTTTTATTAACTCGAGAAAGCAATGAAATTCAGGTTAACAATAGATAAATCACTTATTCAGCACTTCAAGTTGAATAACTGCTACTACCTATTTGATTAATCTAAAATAACAGTTATTTAGTACAAAGTAATAGATAACTATTAAATATTGGATAATCAATGTGATAATGTAACTTTATGGTTTGAAATATTGAATGCATTCAACAAATTCAATTGGATTGGATTGAGTTAATGTTTTAATCTAATATGTATTTATTTTGACTTATATTGAATTAAATTGATTCATTAGATTTAGATTTTAGTATTAAATTAGATGTTAATCTGCAATATGATAAATATTGCAATAATTTCTATTAACATTTTTGAAATTAGGTGATGATCTGATAATACGAATCAAATAAATATGAAAAGGTCATGATTTATATATATACTGTATATTCTCAAAAAATCAGGCTTGTAAAGAAATTATCACCAAATCATTTATCTCCACTTCATCTTTTGATTGAGTCTTTACTCATTTTATATATACATAATAAAGTTTACTACATTTATTATGACTATAATTGCTGTTCTGGTTACTATGAATTTCATATCATATGTTGAAGGTAATTTCTTTATGCATAAAACAGACAATTAGAAAAAATCAATCTAATACTTTTTTTATATCAAACAGCATATGTTGTTACTATAGCCAATAATATTATTAAGGGTGCTTTTTTAACAAAAATATATTTATTTCCTACTCATGAAAAAGATTTTGTAGATACAGAAGCTTGCAGAGAAAATTAAAAGTTATGATGTATTTTTGATGCTGATGAATCCAAATTAATATCATTCATGAATGATTATGATTACTGTATTCATCTCCATAGTGATACATTTAAATTTAAAAATTATAATTGTTAATAAGTTTTAATGTCATTGCTTTTTAGATGAATTTTTAGAAAAATTAGAGTCTACTTAGTGTATATAAAGCGCGATCTAGATAATTTTAGAACTACAATCATGTACAAATTAATGATGTGATGATCTTGGCCGTGCCAGCTTCGCTGTTGTAATCAAAGCCTCGGGACGAGTCTTTTTCTCCTGACATACATCACAATTTGGAATAGTCCTGCACGTTCGTGCTGATGTTTTATCAGATATAAATATATCAGATTCTGGAGCATCAATGCATCGTAAGTATCTGTACAGGATCATCATTTGAATTCTCTGATGATATTAACCCAAGATTGTTCGATGTTCAACATTTTTTATAAAATGATGCTTCGGTTGAATTTTAAAAAAAAATTTTTTAAAACAAAAAAGTAGTAAAATTTTTTTTAAAAATTAAAATATCATTTTTTTTTTGCCACAAATGTTTATGCTAATCAAGTAATACAAAAACTCACGCCACGCGAGATTTGATCGAATTTTCCTTTCAAAATGTGTGGTGCTTAAGATCGGGAGAATACGGAAGTTGAATTATAGTTTAACTAATTTAACTCATTATAACATTGGATTACAATAATTAACGTTAAGCGAGAAATAAACTTAATAGATGACTACGAAACGTAAAAAAAAAAAAAATTTAATATATAGAAAATAATGAAAACTAAATACGAAAAACGATAATAATGAATTAATAAAATAAAGTACATAATGCGCTTACTTACGAAGCCAGCCAACCCGAAGTGGAATCTAAGAATAAAAAAAAAATCAGCATCTAACGCCTAAAAAAAGATAAATATAAAACATATCCTATGCAATCTAAAAGTAGTAAGATAAAAAAAAATTCTAATTTATCCTTTTATTCTCGATTGCAGATTTAAGTTATGATTATATTTTCGAACCAAATTTTTATTGCATATGCATAAAGCATAAGGCATCAAATCAAGCACAAAGCAAAACGTAAAAGGCATGTGCATATGCATATCATGTGCTATACGAAAAATCTATGCCTTATTTAGCATCAATAATGAATCAGCCAAAAAAGAAGAAAATAATGAACTTTTTACATAAATGGTGTGGTGTTTTATATGCTAAACGTGATTTTTTTTTATTTTGACATTTTTTGAGAAAGAAAGTGTGCTTATTTACATAAATTATTAATTTAAATTTTTATGATTTAATATCGATGGGTTACAACTTTCAAAAAAAAAAAAATAAAATTGCCTGTCAAGAGAGTAAAAAGATTTCTTAAAGTGGAATTCGTGAAATTTATTGTTTATTATATTTAATTAAAAATGAATAATTTACAAAAATTTAATTTAAATTACTTTTGTGTAACGATAATGTTATAAGGAATTCAATATCTCTATGTAAATTCTATGTAAAATATAAAAAAATAAATTATATTTAAATTGTAACAATATATTATTATTAATTTACAATTTAATTAAAAAAATTAAACCAAATTGATGGCAAGGGAAGTAGTTCAGGTCGTCGTCTTAAAGGTTCAATGAATGCTGGCAAAACAGACAAATTTATAATCAGCAATAAGAGCCACTTCAAGAACATTTTAATTTTTGAATTCTCATTTTTATTTTCACGACCAGAAACAGCTTCCCATAAAATGAAAATTACACCGTGGATCATAAAGAAAAAGGTGTGTTCACCTTTCCAAATATCAAAATGTCCAATGATAAGGTATTCATGCAATAAAGAACTAATAGCGAATGCACCTAACACGCCCATCATGTTTGCGATTTTCTTAGGGACAATTGGAGCGAATACACTCTTAACAGGTAAAAACCCTAGTTCTTTGAAACTTTCACTAATAAATAATTGCCAACGAGCAGACCAAAAGTCACGAGGGCTTGATGCCATCCATGGTTCGTTAAACAAATGTTTTGTATTGAAAAGAAATGTGATCATCCAATCCTTTAGGGAGAAATATTCGGAAGAAGTGAGAAGGCCCGATTTGATTAAAATAGGTTTATCATTAATTTCTTCCGACGAAGAGTGAAGGAAAAAACGGTAGAAAATAGCACTAATAATTATATATATATCGTAACCATATACTGACAACGCTAGGTATACATGTAAAAGGAAGTTTATGTATAGTAACATTAAAGGCATGGTAATCACAGGAATTCCTTTCGTAAAAAATTCAATCAAACGAAGTTGATATGGTTTCTCTGGAATCACCATTGAATATGTAATTGCATTATACATTACAATTTCAAGAACAAGACATTTTGCAACGGTAATTATGGTGCGATTAATTATTTTTTGGTTGATTTGTGAAGTCGTGGGTGATGTAATAATCAAGGAATTTTCTTTTCCATTAGAATTTTCCTTTTTTGGAGGATTTATGTAAGAGTTAAAACGTAAATTAAATAATGTCCAGAGGAATGATTTAAATTCTTTCTTTTGTTTTGTATCTTCTTGATTCAAGTATGATCGATTAGATTTTAAGAACAATAACATTTTTAGTCCAAATATTGATCCATAAGCTACAAAAGCGTTTTGAGGTAAAGGTGGGTATTTTCCACGAAAACTTATTGGAATTGAAATATATATAAAAGCGAGAGTTAACAGCGTATAAAATCGTCTCCTTGTTTGGATTGGTTCAAATGAAAGTGATAAAAACATTAAAAATGGAGTAAAAAATATAGAAAAATATACTGAGGTAGGTAATATTGGAGGAAATTCTTTCCATGTAGATATTGGTGAATTAAATACGAAATATAATATGTGAGCGGTCGTTGCTGACATTGGTATGTAAACCAGATTTGATTTGGCGAAAATGCCAGGTTGTGACATCTTGAAATTTAAATGTCGTAAATACTAAAGTTAAAATTAAGGAATGAGTTTGAAAGATTTAAAAAATGAAGTGATGGAATTCCACTGCTCTCTATATACATTTTTTTTTTCGTTGCACAATAGAATGTTGGAAAATCATTATTTCAATGCAATGATATTTTTTAATACAGGTTTAGGTTATGTAATACTTGAAAATAGCTCAGCCAAATAAGGTAATACAATGTTTGGGGAAAAAAATTTTATTATTTTTTATTGTGTCAATCGGTTATTTTATGATTGAAGATTCTTTAAGACGATAATCTATGATTCATTAAATTTTTTTTTTTATTTATGCATATGCATATTTTTTTTAAAAAAAATTTGCAGGAAAGAAACAACCTCACTTTTCCGAATGCACCAATATAATATATATAATTTCTTCATAGAATGTGATAGGAAGATTTACTTTAAAATTTTTTTTTTTATCTTGATTCATATTTTTGGGGGAATAGCGTTGGTGACACAAGAAAGTGGAATGTAACGACCAAAAAAAAATGCGGTGATTTTCAAAAGCAGTTTTTTTTATAAAACAAAATTTATTTTTATTTGTTAAAAATGAAGGTAATATTTTGGTTCAGGCAACGGGCTGAAGACAAATAATTTTCAAATTATAACGGAAAGCAGAAATTTGATAATTTTTGAATACTACAAATTTGATATGTTTAAACCATTTTTCAACGTTCTGTTTTATAAACCAATAGAAATTAAATTTTTAAAGAAAAATCAAATCGTTTGAACTTGATCGATCAATATAACTATCAAACTCCATGTAAAGTTTCTGTCCTGTATCACGGCAGTATAACGCTTTGGACGCTCAGGGAAGAAATACAAATGCGATACGAAAAATCTCATCGTTGACGTTGATAAATAAAAAAGTTACATATAGTATATAGGAAAGAGAGTTACATTGCATTGTTATATGTTTTATACTTTTAAATAATTTTTTTTAATTAAATTATTTATGAATAGTTTGTTTTAATAACTTCAGTATTAATAATAAATGTGTTAATTTATAATATAAATCTTATTTTATCCTATTAATAAAAAATATATCTTTGTTAGTAAAAAGAAATGTTTTATAATTAATAATAATTAAAATAAATTATCAAATTGAATTTTATAAAGTTTGTAAACTGGTTATTTGAGCTTCATAATAGTAGGGTTTTGTACATTTTCGATATTTTTGCAATCCGCCTAAAGATGTATATTATCTTATTCTCCATTGTTGCCTCTTACGCCATTTCCGTCTATTACAATTCGTGAAAAACTTATTTTCCTTGAAGGAAATTCCACCTTGCAATAATTTCTACAAAATTTTAAAAGAACGGAAAAGATAACGAAAATTACGAATGACTTATTAATTAATTACCGTTTACGTTATGACGAATATCACCCCTGATTTTTGTAAGAGCCCGCTTCCAATATTATGAATTAATAGATTTCTTTATTAAAAGTTAGGATTAAGTAATGAAGTAGTGAAGTTATCTATATTTTTTTCGGACGAAAGAGGCGTAACTAATTTACTTTGTGACAAATTATAATTCAACCAGTTCTATATATTGAATCCCGTGAGAGGCCTTACCGCAGCAGATCGAAACTCCGTCACAAAAAAAAATTTAAAATTTACTGAACTGAAGCCTTTATCATTTCAATTAATTTATATCTTTTTTTATTTTCTTTCTATTCCGATTTAATTTTTGAGAAATATTTTCGGAAACAAAATAATTTTCAAAGTTTTTTTTTTTGTTACTGCAAATAAAAAGTTAAAAATAATATACTTTATAAATAAAAGGTTAACTTTATTATGACTAGACACTTCATAGACTCGTTATAACACTTTTACCTTATAGTGATAAAGTTTCCTAAATGAAAAAAATTTAAGCTTAAATCATCTTATAATTTCTGGTTTTAACACTGATGACAGAATTTAGTGTATAACGGAAAAACTGGAGTTTGTTGTCTTTGATTTAGCTTAATTATTAATTTCTTCATTACTAGATTTTTCAGAAATAGCAAACAAAAAGCAAGAAACGATCGATATACCGTTAGGTCAATAATATCTGATTGTAATAAAATAAGAATTCCCAACTATTCGGTATATAATGATAATTATATTGAGCGAAAATATTTATCATACTACTGAAATGCAGAATCATTCACTACTAACCCTTTTCTTCGATTAACCCTACAAATATTCATAAAATAACCTACAAATCGAGTATAGGGAAAACCGGTACGGTAAGGTTCGGCTGATCAGTACGGTAGTAAGGTACGATCATATTTTGTACCGTACGTACTGATCAGTTTTCCTCCCCCGATTTATTTAATTTTATTAAGGTAATATTTTTTTTTTTTTTTTTTTTTGAAAAAAAACTTTTTTTTTATTAAGAATGCTTTGACGAATGCAACATCAATCATTATTAATATCATTGAGATCATTAACATAGGGTATATATAGAAAATCGGGGTATATAGAAAACCGGTACGGTACGGTACGATACTTTTCCAAATTTTGATCGTACCGTTCTGGTCTAGTACGGTACGATTATAATTTGAAAATTCGTACTAATCTGCAAAATCCTATCGTACCGTACTGATCAGCCGAACCGTATCTCCCTCTGCAGATCATTATCGTATCGATAAAGATCACGTGCAAATTTGGTAAATTTCAATTCCCGTGAAAGATTAATACTTTTCAGGAAACGAGAAACAATAAATTTATGATTTATCAAAAAATGACCAGCATGAAGAAATATGGGAAAGTTTTTATTTTACGATTTCATATTTGGAATAAAGGTTGTAGTAACCGAAATCGAAACGCGTTTGGAATTTCTTTTCATATATGCATAGACTAATATATTATCATCGTGCATTATAAAAATCGTAAACACCTACTTACAGAATAAATAGAAAATTAAAAACGAGGGACGTAGTTAATGCAATTTTTCACACTTCGCTCGAGTTTACAAGATGGCGATAAACTTTGATACATTAATTATTTGCAATAATTTAAATACCTTTTGACCTAATTGCTAATTGATAGACTAGAAAAATAATTTTTAAGTAATTTACGTATGGAAAAAATTTTTCATTAATTTTTAATATTATAAGTATTCATTGGTTTTAAAATTTTCCGAATTGATTATTTTTGATATCAAATTTAATTGAATTGCTTGAAGACGTTTGAATTGGTGGTTTATTTGCTTAAGTACTACGAGATTTAGAAATTTATTAGTAAAAAAGAATTATGAGCTCATAAAATTTTTTTATTTAACTTACAAAGAAGGTCGCGCACCGAAATTTGGTGATGTTGAAGATTTCGTGCATCCTTGATAAAAAGTACTCCTATATAGCAATTAACATTGTCTTAATATTTGTATCCATAAATTATTACTTAAAATGAATAGTTTCTTTCTTACTCTTTTTCTTCATTAGAAGGAGTTGGTGGTACTTTAATTTCTTCAGGTTCCTCAGAGGTGATAGTTGGAACTTCATTCCATTATTAACAACTTTAAATGGTTCCTTTACAGGCCTGATTGGGGTGGGTGTAACAGTACTCGTCGCATCAGGTTCACTATAAAACCAATATTTATAAAATTATTTTTGCCAAACTAGTATAACTTATCATCAAATTAATAAGTTATTATTTGGAAATAATTACTTTTTAGTAACTTCTTTTGAAATTCCATTATTCTCGGGTGATTTAGGTTGTGCTTCAGGAGATTTGGATACTTCTTCAGGAACTTTAGGTTCTATCACAGGAGTTATGGGCTCTTTCGTTGGCGGCTGGAAATCTTCTTCGGGACGTTTAGGTTCTTCCACAGAAGCTTTTGTCGGCGATTTTGGTTCTTGTACAGGCGATTTTTGAATTTTCACAGGTGATTTATTTTTGGGAGATTCCAAAGGAGATTTTGGTTCTTCCTCAGTAATAGCATCAGGAGCTTTTACCGGTTCTTTTACGGGATCTTTGGGAGAATTCACTGAAGAATTTTGTGTCTCCTCTGGAGATGTGGGCATCAGATTTTTGGGAACCTCTACCGGAGTTACGGATGTCTTCAACTGATTTTTTGGTTCTTCCGGTGGAGCTTCGGAAGGTTCTTGGGCTGATGTTGTAAGCATAAATAGGATTAAAATAAATATCGAGAGTAAATAAGCATTTTCTATTGTGAATTTCATCTTTTTTTTTTGTTATTAAAAAAAATAATAATTTTAGAGAAATCAAATGTTGAAACAGTAAAGAGTACAATTTATTTAAATAGATACAGTATTTCGAAATGATGTTATCTTATTATAATAATTATTTTTTTTTATATAAATTATCATACACTTTACTTGTTATGAAACCGGGTCTATATCGTCAGGCGTTGCTGATAATGGTTCATTAGTATTTCATCTATCTTATCGAATTTGTAAACAAGGGACGATAAATTCTTGCCTTCATTATGAAAGTATCATGGTATGGTTCAAATTTTGTGATTTTAAATCTGTCGAAAGGAATATTCAATTACGATTTTTTTATTCATTTCCAAAAAATTATATAACTAAAGGTTGACAAAAATGAACAAAAAGAGTTTCGATTTTACAAAGAATTCTGAATTCAGCAATTTTCGACTAATATTATTATTATTATTATTATTCGCAATGGTTATACAATATCATAATAAACCATACAGTTTTCATACAAACCATTTATGATATAATTCTTGAGTTGAAATAATGAAAGAAATTCTTAATTTGGCAAACGATTTGCGAAAGTATTGATGGCGTCTTCAATTTCCCGTTTGATTGATAATACGGTGACTGTGTAACGGTCAACTAACGCTAAAACTGATATTTATAAAGCTTATTTATCTGGTGAAAATATTTTTTTATTGCACTTTTACATTGTTACTACTAGACATTGTTTTGATTTTATAAGAAAAAAAATTATTTTCAATCAAAATCATCTCGTATAACGAACGATAATAGAATATAAATGGTGATACAGTTGAGGCACTGTACATTACAATTTGCGGTAGATTAAATTTTATAACTAGTAATTGGATTGGTCTTAAATTATGCAATTTTTTCTTGATTATATTTTTTGCTAGTTATAGGCATGAATTTATCGAAAAATGCAAGATCTATAGAATATTGCATCATGAATGGTTTTTTTTAATATATGAAAAAGGCGAATGCTATTGCAAATACAAAAAAAAAAAAATATTAAATAAAACATCATTTTATAAATGGTATAAAATATATTGCAATTTAATTATAAAAATTACGGTAAAATTTCCATTTTAATTGGGTTTCTATTTTTCAGAATTTCTTATTTTAAATCTATATAAAATTTTTTTTCGTTAACTTTATCGCGTCTTTTCTTTTACAATAAAACTTCTAGTGCTACGTAAGGAAGGTTACTATACACGCTTTTTAAAGGTTTATTGATAGGCCCACAAAATCCGAGATCACTAATATATCATACTTTGAATATATAAAATATTTTCTGAATGCAGGTCTCTATGAATATCATCCTCTTGATAAAGAAAATAAATATCTTCAATTATATTTTCAGCAATGTAAATTCTATCTTTACATATAAGTTGTTTATTATTTTGTTTTAAATTTTTTTTCCATCTATATATTACTAAAAAAAAAATAATCTTTTGTTACAGCTACTTTCAAAGTCACGGGACATCAATAAATTCTAGTCGTCGGCCTGGCGATCAGCATATTTTATACAGTAGTTTTTGATTGTGTAACTTTGTCTAAGTACTTGCATATCTCGTGCATTGTATTCATTTTTTTTTTATCGTATCGCTATGGATTTCGTCTAAATGCCTTAACTGTATGCATTGTTTGCATAACTTGTAAAAAAACCTATCGTGATAATTGTTTATGTATAGCTAAAGAAGTTTTTTGACAAAAAAAAATAATTGAACGAGAATATGGATTTTCGTCATTTACCTTTATCACAAGCAGGAGCAACAAAAACAAAAAATAAAATTGGACATAAATTTTGTTAATTGGTTTCAAGATAAAATTTCTTCACAAATTAAAATTCATCATCTCAACCAGATGTTAATATATGCAAAGTATGTTTGAATAAATATAAATTTATGCCTAATAAAGGTATTACAGCTGACCCTCGCTATGATCACATCCCTCGGGACCATGAAATAATGTGATTATATTAAGGTATGCTTATACTAAAGGATTTATTATTATAATTACTTATATGTAAAAATATTATTGGTATAATTATATGTAAAATTTTGTATTAATAAATTTTATAATAAATTATGTTAGATTTTAAAATTTTGTTAAAAATTTCGAAGAAAATAAGTATAAATTTAGTATGAATTAAACATAAAACCAAAATTAATCAATATCGTGAAATGGTCAAAACCGACGTCATTATATCACATAATTATTATATAAAAAATCTAAATAAAGAAGTACTATCTCAGTAATTACTGCTCCATTTCTCATGAAAAAAACTACCATTTGAATCCTTGAAATTAGACGAATCCAATGCAATGAGCTAATTAATATACATTGAATTATGATCAGCCGATCACGAGATATTCGCTATTGAATGTTAAAATTAGGTTCCTTTAAGTAGAATTTTTGAATTATAATTTTGGCCAATAATTTTATCATGCATGATTATCTCGTGATTGGATAATCCGAAATCGATGTTTATTGGCTCATTGGATTCGTCTAGTTTTGAGGATTCAAATGATAATTGTTTCATAAGAAATGGTACGGTATTGACAAAGATCGTACTCTTTTTATTTTTAGATATTTTAGATACTATTTGTATAATAAAATTAATATAGGTTATGATTTACTTTGATTATATAAAGGAATCTAGAAATATTTTTAAAATATTGTTTTTCAAAGAAAATGAATCTTAAATTTTAAAAATGCAGATTTAGGTAGAAACGTGTTCTGTATTACCAGAAAATATAGTATTAAGTATTGGTCTTTATTTTTTACACAGTATATTTTTTTATTTTGAGCTAATGTTTAAATTATTTCATTTTTTTTGCGCGATTTAATTAGTACATTCCTTTGATATTCAAAGTCAGTTCCGATTATGCTAAACCAAATATTGAGACCTCCTATGTAACATTAATAGTTTAGATAAGCGTTTGCTTTTTTATTAATATTATAATTTCCATAAAAGTTACTTCTTCTTATAATTAAATTTAGTAATAACAATTGTAAGAAATTAAAAGCCCAAATGTCGAAATATTTCAACTTTGGAGGTTCAAAGTCAAAAATAAAATCAAAATGCATCGTCATATATAATTTTTAAAAATAAAGGGCCCGGTTTCTGATGATTGGCGGCAAAACCGAACATTTTATTTTTTTTGTATATATTAAAATTCATGTGATATGATTACGTCATTTTCGATCATTTCTACCACTTAGGATATCCGTAATTTTCGGTTTCAATTAAAACAATATCATAATCTAATATGCTCAACTCATTAGTCATTTATGAAATTACTATTTACGGCTTATTATCTTATAAATCAATTTAAATCAATTTGATTATCACCACACGTTTCATATTAAATGTAACACAAATTTGATGATGCCATTAATCAAGTGATAGTTTAGGAAATAAGATCTTTATTTTTTTCAAATATAAAAGACTCAGATTCGAATTTACTCATAATTCAAACATCGCACTATATTCGACCGATTATATTTCGAGATATATATATATATATATATTGCAAAAAAAAAAAAATAATAATCATGAAACGAAATTTAACTTTTGTATTCTTTTTATTGTTTTCTCTTTCCATGATCAGAGCATTTCCACACCTACTTAACAGGAGATCTACTGCCTTTGTTCTATGTCCTCCTACAGATGGTACGACACCACCTTTAATCTCTGTAGAACTTGTTCCTGATCCTATTCTTCCAGGACAAAATGGTATTGTTTTTGCCAACTTTGCTTTAGAGGAAGCCATTACATCATCAACCCGTCTTGTTGCTTATTATAGTGATCCTGATAAAAATCGCTCCATAAGCGATACTTTTACTCAGCAATTATGTGGTGGATCTGGGTGTCCAGTTAAAGCTAATAGTCCATATACATCAATCATGAATACTTTGGCACCAGAAATCTTAACAGTTCCATACGGCATTGTTGTTAGTGTTGTAAGTGTTGTAGATGGAACTAACAAAACACTAGGCTGCGCAACTGCCTTAATTCACCTCTAATGATTCTTTTTATTTTTTATTTGTTAGTATTTTTTATTATATACATCATTTTTAATTCGTGTTACCATAGAGGACGTGAAAATTATAACTAATTATGAATATCAACGACGAAATATTAGGCATTTATAAATTAACGAGCAAAAAAACAGCATTAACGCCATAGATTAATAGATAATTTATTTCCATGCAATTCAACCAGTTATTCTGAGTTAAACACCTATAAATATGTAGAAACATTTAATTATTCTGAATAAGCTTTAATATTTAACAGTTTCAAGTTTATTGACGAATAATGTCAAAAAAAAAAATTGAATAAAATGTCGTCGGCATAGTTGTTGGTTATCTTTACATGAAAATTTTCTTAACATGACTAGCTCCGCTGTCATAGCATTGCTAATTTTTTTTGTATTTTAGATTATATTTGGATAAGGATAAAATGTATCAAAAGAAAATGTTTCAAAAATCAAAAATACTTCGTTCGTGAATTGATCCAAAAGCCTAAAGAAAAAGGCGAAATACATACATCGATCGCCACTATCTAAAAAATTAAAATACAATTTATGAATTAAAGAATAAAAATAATTGCTTCGACCCATCCAACACAGCTACAAAAAAAACAACAATTTTACCACAGCAGATCGGATCTAAAAATAACACTGCAACATTTATTCAAGAACTATTTTTTAATCTCAACTAAAACTCCTTCTGCTACTTTCTCCATTCGTTTATAAATATAAACTTTAAAGAACTGAGAGTAACCCTAGCCTAAATTTGGTTAATAAAGTGAAAACGATGCAAGAATTATTTAATATAACAATTAATTAATCAAGTACTGCCTGTACGTTGACGCTCTGTACTTTTTGAGTCAATTTATTTATTAAATGAAAATCGTTGCGAAATCACTACGGCTAAATAAAAATTATTCTAAGGGGAATATCGGGAATTTCTAAACTTAAGGAATTAATGCTATCTATGCTATCTATCCAAAAAGACCACCATTTTTATTCCTTAATTTCGAAGGGTCAACTTGTCCAGAAGACAAGTTTACTGGAGGACATTTTGAACAGTGGTAGATCGCAAAAAAATGTCGATATTAACTATTATATTTTTTAAGATATTTGAGAATCTCACACTTCTTAGATAACTAAACCTCAAGTTATTAGTTAATACGTGTCAAATTATAGTAAAACGTAAAGAATATCAAGTTAGTTTGGTTTAATGTTTCGGGCTAAACCTAAACCTTTCGCCCAAAGCCGAAACCGAAACTGTCCGAAAGAGGTTTCGCCTGAAGGTGCAATTTTCCGAAACCTTCCTAAATTGTCCAAAGCCGAAACTTAATCCGAAACTTTTCAAATATTAATATTTCACAAAAAAAAAAAAAACAAATAAATATTTATCATAATAGTAAATCATTTATTATATGCACATTCTCCAAAATTTGATAATATTTAATATCAAATGATAAAATTTAAATTGTTAATCATCTGCGAATTTATCTACAGCAATCTCTGGTCATCTACAGTATCACTATTATCACTATCATTATGGTTTCCTATTGATTCATATTCAATATTTTTTTCAATTATTTTGTCTATATTTGATACAATTTCTTCAGCATCCAAATTTATTAAATTTTCGATTTCAAGTTTTTCTTCCTCATTAAAACTAAATGGTTCTCTTTCAAGATCTTTATCTTCTTGCAAAAATTCATAATCATAATCATCAAATACTTCAACGTCTCTAATAATTTCTTGTAATTCTGTAGCTGTTTTGCTAGTACCATAATAATGTAATTCTTTTTTTATATTAGAAAGATAAAATGCACCCAATTTTTGCATATTTTCAAGTTTATGCAAAGAAAGACAAACTCTTCTTTTTCCATAATACCATATTCGTTCGCAACCTACAGCATGAGGAGTAATTGAAAAAAGTTTCATTGCAAGTTGACATATGTAATCTTCATCTTTATTAAAACAATCTTCAATTGATGACCGTTGTTAGTAATAATACTCCAAAAATTACTGTAACAATTTTTGTTTGTGATCTACAAACTACTAGTGATCTACAAGTTTGTGATAGTCTATTTAGGATACACAACATTATATCAATTACA